TGCTTGCCTCTTGGTCTGCTGGATCTTGCTGCCTTTGCAGGTGCTGTAACATGGAGTCTTGAGACCTGGCATGAGGGCTTTGTGAAAGATAGCACCAACACTTAAAGCGGCAAAGATGATTTGAAATCTAGAAAGAAGACATTTGAGAAGACAAGAAACTGGATATATGTGGTCTGGGATATACCGAATTAGACTAAGAGTACTTGCATGGGAAACTTATCCTACATAAGGGGGAAGCAAAGACACAGTAGTTAGAAGTTAAAGGAAGATTGACACCTTAAAAACCCCATATTTTTTTTTAGGGATGTTGTAGGTTCTTCATCACTTGAGATCTGTTGCAAATAAACTGGAGTAATGCATTTGTTAGACTAAACAGTCGAGATTAAAGCTGAAATGAAACAAAAGTTTGATTTAGGAACAACCAGCCAAGTCAAGCTCTTCAACCTGTATTATGAGCAATAGGTGTTCTCAGGGGACCAGAGGTATGAATCAATTTGTGGCAGTGATTGATCTTGGCTCGTTGAGGCAAGTAGCTCTTCAATGGATGATTTGAAAGAAGCAGTTGAGCTCTGCCATCTGGCCAGTCTAGGAGATACTGATATTGCTGCAAAGAAAACACAGATCCAGATGCAAACTGTGGAAGGGCAGGCCATCAAAAGCACCTCTCCTGAGGTGAAGCGTGTAAAAAGGGAGGAGGAAGGTCTTACTTTTCTACCAGCTTTCTTTTTTACCACTTTTTTATCATGAAAATGAAAATTTGCCGCCCTGTGATGATCGAGTGCCTGTGACATGCAGAAGGAAAAGCACAGGGTTAGATTTCCTGGAGTGTATTACAGCTGTTTGCCCAGGTATCAATTAGGAGCTGTGGAGGAAGGGTTTCATTAGAAGAAAAGCACACAAGGCTTTTCCGGTGCAGAGGAGCTTGGTGCATGTCATTTGTGTAACCTCTTTTCTGGTCATGGATGTTTATTTGGAGTCGAGCAAGACGCTCTCAGCAGCTTCTCTTTGATCTGTCTGCAGGAAAATTAAATCCATATGGCCTTCACTCAGAACCTTTCTGCATCCTGGATGGAAATACCCATCTATACTGGGGTTATATTTTATTGTCATCCGTATGTACAAAGGTCCATTCATCTGTGAGAATGACGTGTCTGTCCAAGGCCTAAGCTTTAAAACACCCAATAAAGAAAAAGGGTTGTTGCAAGCTGTCAGTCACCTGGAGATGGGCTTTTTAAACCTGTATGTAGAGAGTTGTCTTGGTTTGCACAGTTTGAAATGGCAGTGCTGCCTCCAACTTGCCATTGCTTATTTGTCATCTCTGTAATTTATAAACAGGTTGTGTCTTTGCTAGGACCCGGGCTTGTAATATGTGTAATTACCTGGTGTCAAAGGGATGCCTGCACTAGTCTAGCTGGGATGATGGTCTGGCCGTGAGCTGCAAAGCTCTCACAGCTGGATGTTAATGGCAAGATGCTCCCACCATGCTGGTGGCTTGCAGCTTGCCAGAGCCAACTGCAAATAAAAAAAGGGATGGATCTTCTATTTGAAATACTGCAGCCTTTCTCTTTCTTTAGTTTTACTGGAGAACTTGGGGTGTATTTGTGTTGGGAAAGCATCATGTTCAGTGGCAACATCTGGGGAAAGTCTATATTGCATATAGAAATGCAGAAATGCATAAGCAGAATTGAGCTGTGCTGTCAGCAGATCTGCTCCTGCATGGATTCTTATGGACCATCTATCCCCCAGAATACTTCTCAACTGCTGAAGCACTATTCAGCTGTACTTTTAATACACAGGTGTGCGGCATGGGAGAGCCTGACTCTGGTTTCATGGAAAATAGGGAAAGCATAGTAAATGGTGAGTAGAGAGGCACATTTCGGTGCTCCTGAATATTTAGCAGTCCCAAGCACATCGTAAAAAGTTTGAAGTCGTTCCTAAGAATCAGCTTTTCTGCCCTTTTCCCTGGTTTTGCTATACTTCAGCTCTTCCTTGCAGCACGGCTTGAATGAGCACTGAGTGCAAGACAACTTTGTGGGCAACAAAGACAGCACGAATGACATGGGCGTCTCTGAAGTGCTGGACGAAAAGCTACACTGGCCATGTCTGTGAAGTCTTTTGTTTGGGTTTTGTAGGTAGGTTGCTTGGTGTTCCCAGATGATGAGACATTGCAAGTTTCAGAGTGTCCTATGCAGAGCTGGGGCTCCATATACCCGACAGCCTACGCTGCGCCAAATGAAGTGCTGAAACGTCTTTTTGCCTGGCTCACAGGCTGCCAGGGCTTGGTCCTGTGTGTTGTGCTAATGTTGTGCTGCAGAAGTTCAGCCCATTAATGCAACTGGCATTAACAAGGTGCCTGAATTTCATCCTCTTAGTCACAGTCACAGCAGCTACAGTGATAATGGGCTCCTCTTGCTCTGACCACAGTCTTGGCTCTTTGAACTGTGCTTGTAGTTGGCCAGTAGGCAGCAGAAAGCAGATCCGTTGCCTTGTTGGCTATCCAGTTGCAATGTTTACTTTGGATTTCTAATAGCAAAGCCCTGTAGCAGCGTGCCTCCCATTGGAAACTGGGGAAAATGTTCATTTGTTAAGAGCAGCCGCTCACCAGTCCAAGGTAGGAAATGCACAAAAGCTTTGGAGGGTATTTCGGTGTAGCACCAAGCTACTAGGGATGGATGTGCTAAAGTGTACAGGACAGGGTAGTATTTAAGGGGGAAAATAATAGTAATTAAAAGAAAAAAAAAGAGTTCAGCAGTATTGCCAAGCCTGGAGCTGAGGTCTGTTAGCTTAGCCTTGACTTTAAATAACATAACCCAACCAGTGATTCAGTTGATGCTCACGACTATCCGGTGACTTGATACCCACTTCCTTTCAGAGAAAACCCTTGAGAATAGGGCTTGAAGCCAGCTGCGTTTGGTGGTAGTGATGGTGGTTCTTGACTGATGCAACTTCTTGGTGTAGACAGAAGGTCAGGGCTTTATTTGCATCCGTACGGGTTGAGGATGCTGTAACATTTGTAACAGAGCTTTTCTGTGTCTCATGTTTTCACATGCAGTGTTTCTCCCTGCCTGCCCCAGATCCTGGCCCACGGCAAACAAGTGACTGAAGAAAATTCCAGAGTCATGGCTTGACCCAGCCATGTGTGACGCTGGAATTGTGCTTGTTGCTGCTCCTCCATAAGCTGCCTTATGTCGGTGCACACTCTGACTCCCACCGTGTGCTGTGCTTTGAGTGTCTGTGATGATCAGTGACTGGCTGGTCTGTGGAGCAGCAGAAGGCAGGAAAACAGGGATGCTTTGGGGAGATGCAACTGCTCAAGCTGTTGTCTCAAAACCATGATTACAACACAGCTTATTCAAGGATAGTTTTGTCTTAGCACTGGGAGACTTAATTTCAGTTTCCACTGTCCCTTGGGGACAAAGCTTTACAAACTGGGCTTGGAGCAGAAATGGCCAGGCATCTTTAAATTTTCTGGCTGATGTTGCTTTGGACTTGTGTGCTGATTTCTTGCTGGAGACAGCAGAGGACGGAGCTGATGGGTGCTGTGTTAAGCATTTGAGGGTAACAGCAGTGCTGCTGCAGAGCTTGAAGAGGGAAGCAAGGCCCACTAAACTTTAAATTTACTTTGCCCACTAAATTAAGTTCATTATGAGAGGGTAGTGAGACACTGGGACAGGTTTGGATGGGGCTAGTGGAAAGTGTCCTTGTCCATAGCAGGGGAACTGGAACTAGATGAGCTTTGCAACCCTTCCAACCCAAACTATTCCGTGGTTCCATGTTTCTGTGACTTCTTTACGTTGTGTATTGAAATAGAGTATATGCAGCTATCACTTGATCCCACTGGAACAAACCTGAAACGCTGTTGCCTTCAGTGTGACTTTTGACAGTAGCTTGATTCCATTGTTGTTACAAAATCCAACCAAGCTGCACATAGGTGCCTGCAGCTACACCTTCCCGTGCTTGGTGGGTGCTGGAAAGCAGCAGTGTCTGTCCTGGTGCCTTGGGGTGTCCTCAGCATCCTCTGTGCACCTTGGCCTCTGTGCACTGAAAATGGGTTCAAGCCTTGGTGGTCTCAAGCTCGGTGTTTCCATGGTCCAAACATGAAGTTTTCAAGATCTGGTGTGATTTTAGGTTATTTTGTCTGTAAAATGGGGCTGTATCTCTCCTAAAGGATGCTTTTAGTTAGCATCGCCTCAGCCACCGTTGTCCATCCTAGGGGAAAAAGGTATTTTTGCCCCAGTTGAGGTTTAAAACACTTTGGATTTAAGGAAGGCAGAGGCAGCTGTGCCTGGAAACACTTAAATTAGCTTCCCCCCCTCCCTGCGCCTGCCTAATCATCAGTGTAGATTAGTTCAGAAACCGGGCAAGTATTTTTAGAAGCTGCTTTCAGAGCCCCAATGTCACAATTTTTATTCTCGTCGTCGGTGCTGAGGCAGTTCTTGAGCAACATTTCTGCTTTAAAGAAGCGGGAGGACATTTAGGGATGATCCTGTAACTTGAATGGGGAGCACACACTGCCTGGTGAGGAGATAAAGCAATACTGAAAGCTTTTGAGCAGTGAGTGCTTGAGCCCGACTGCCCAAAGTGAAGCAGGGTGTTGCTGTTTTGGCACTGCGGTTGGCTGGACTGCCTGCAGAGGTAGGGTGTACAAGGACCTGCAGCTGATACTTATTAATACCAACTTGTTGCGAACTGGAAGCACTTAAAACCCTGTTGAAAGCCGCAATGGAGTCGAACGCTGCCCCCAAGCCTATCGAGTTGTTTGGACCCTTGTTCGCAGCGCTGCGTTAGCAGCTTTAGGGGAATAAAGTGCAGCCAGGGTTACCGGAGGAGGTGACGCCCGGTTCAACTTTGGACCTGTTTGCAGTGCTGGGTGAGCAAGTGACATGCCTGCCGCTCTGGTGCAACCTCTGGGCAGCGTGTTTGCTCTGTCAGCTCCTGCCGAACGCCCCCGTTATTAGTTTATGGCGGTTGTATCATAATCACTCTATTTTTTTTTCCAGCCTATAACCGGGGTGGGGAAGCAAAGCAAGGATCTTTGGTCTGTGCGTGCGCGTGTGCTCTCGGAGCCGGGAGGAGGATGTTGGGAATGAGTAATGGTCCGGCCGGAGCTGTAATGTGCAGAATACCTCTGGGATGACTCACCCGGTACAATGCAGCACATCCCTCAAGGAGACTGAATCACGCATGGGGGGAAGCCGCTGGCTCGGCGGCAGCAGCCAGCTGGGACTTGGGGCAGCCAACACTGATCCAGAGGCTGGTAGTGGCAGTGATGGTAGAATGGAGCAACCTGGGTGTAAAATGTAGAGGAAATGGCATCCCCCAGCAGGTATGTGTGCATGCTCCCACCGGGTGTAATTTCATGTTTTCTTACTCTTCTTATTTTCCTCCGCCTCCCCCCATCTGCCCCCACAGCCCTTCTGAATCTCTTCTAAATCAGCATGTAATTCATCAGTGAATATGGATGACTGTGAAACACAGGCTTTCTTTGATGGTTACAGATCAAATTCTTTGAGAAGTAAGGCTTTAACGTGCACCCTCTCTTAAACACCGAGAGGAAAATATATGCGGCTTCCCTTGATGTCCCTCTCCATGGACACTTTATGGGGTAGGGAGGTTAAAGAGAGGTGGAAGGCCAAAAAAATCAATATCCATGTTGGTTTTGATGTAGTTAAGACTGTCTTCTTTTGGTTTATTTCTTTAAATGCATTTACCTGGCAAAAGATAAAACCCTTTAGACTTAGAGCACAATTATCCATTCTCTGGTAGAAATTCAGCTGGAATTGAGTCATAGAAAATGTATATATATGTGCAAAATGCTGTCTTCCCTTTGTAGTCAGATCGTACGTGTCACGGAGGATGTTTACAGAGGGATAAATATAGTTGTGTTCTGCACTCATCAAAATGGAGGAGAGTGGGGGGAAAATGCATATTGCTTAAAGCGAGAAATTTGGGGTTTTTTCCTCTGTAAAGTTTGATATTTTTCAGCACTATTGTGTATATTTGTGTGTGCATACAGAAGCATTTTTATGGTCTGGAGCATCATTGATTCTGTAGCTAAGGATAAGTATCCTTTGCATTATTTTCTCTTGTACTGTAATATTTATGGGTAGTAGTATGGATGGGTAGCACTTAGTGTGCAAAATGTATATATGGGAGTAATGGGATAGCTCTTCAGACCAGCTCTTTTGTGGCATCATAGCCTACAGTGTGACAGCAAAGACTTGCTGACTGGGGAAGAGGGTCATGTGGAAATAGCATCGTCTTGTGAATTGAATGGATTTCTCCATTGCATTCCTCTGTAATTTTTGGCAGGCAGGATCAAACCTTGACTTTCATTTTGCGAAATAAGGAGGGTGATAAAACTTTGTAAACCTGCAATACAGTTGCTGGGCTTGTTAGTTTTGTTCTTTTTGCTAAATATCACCATTTATTAGGTAACAGGATAATAGGAACGGAGTGTGCATGGTCAATTTATGCTAGGAAAATAGATAGGGTAGGACTTAGTTGTGGCTTTGTCTGCAGTCAGGTAGGGGGGAATCAATTCAGGATGCAAATCCCATGCAGCTACCTGTGTGGCTGGGTAAGCTTTTATGCGACTTTTGCTTATCTTGCGTGAGATGTAAAACAAATACCATCTGTCATGCAATAGCAACTTCCTTTCTCATTACAGTAAATGATAGCACTAATTAGCTTCCCTTGAAACCTGTTAATGTTTGTGTCCTTGCACAAAAAATAGCAGGACTCGAGTGTGCAACTCTTACCTGTACTGCACGCCAGCGGGATGAGCTGCAGGGCATATTATTCAAATACAGTATAGTATTAAACCGATTTCTTTTGTTCTGCTGCTCCTTACCTCTCTCCGAGGTGTACTGTCTGTGTCGTTATAATGATTTACGGCTAAATTCAGCCATTGAATACATTTGAAGAGAAGTCTTTCGGTTTTGGTTGGGTTTTTTTGAAGTATATCCTAAACCTGTAATTTGCCATCACTGACAAAGCAGCCGCTGGGCAAAGCTGGGAGAGGAAGCTTGTCCTGAGGTAACTCAATTCTCCATTGAGGCTGAGGTTCACTGTGATTTTCTGGGTTATTTTTAAAGAGGTTTCATTAAATAGTCATTCATTAAGATCTTCGTCATTAGTGTGTGTCCCAGTGGTGTTGTGGTTGTCTTTTAGGGAGAAATAAACAACTTTTGGGTATTTGTGTAGCAAGGTTTGCTGTGGGGGTTGATAACTCTGACATGGTTTCACCAATACATTTCATAGATACTTCAGTGCAGCCATAAGGAGTAAGTTAATCAGCCCCTGATGCAGTTAGACTTTCATTTTAATCCAATATTGTTTGTGTAGTAAGCTAATTTCTGGGGATAGCCCTTAAAATCTGTGCGTTTGAGCTGCATCAGTGGATCTTCACTTGCCCATTAGCGTGTTTGCAAGCCCACTTTTTCCCCTAAAAAGCCACTTTCTGGTTCATTTGGGGTTTTGCTTACATGTATGGCACTTTGTGGGATCACCAAGCAAGCCTGGCACAGGAGGAGAGGTTGTGCTGGCCGAAAACACGGGTTTAGCCCATGCAGGGCTAAACCACCCAACCCTACAGCTGTGTGGATAGCAGTTGTGTTACCCTGCCTGCACCAAACCCTGTTGGTTTTTAGCACCAGATCCATAGGGAGAGAGGGCCAAGGGCACATCTGCAGCTGAAAATTGTTCTCATAGAATCATCCCCTAGTCCAGTGCATCCAAATTAGCTGGGACATTGCATTGTAAAAATGCACTGAGTGTTACTCTCACAGCAGAAGCTGCTGCTTTTGTGTGTCATTTCAAACATTGACATTATACCTGGCTTTAATATTATTTATATCATCGTGGAATCATAGGATAGTTTGGGTTGGAAGGGACCTTCAAAGCTCATCTAGTCTAACCCCCCTGCAACAAGCAGAGACACACTCAACTTGATCAGGTTGCCCAGAACCACATCCAACCTGGCCTTGAACATCTATATTATAGTAATTATATTCTAAATTATATATATTACGTATATATATATATGAAACAGTTTTTCATATCTACATAGATGCATATAATGTAGATAGAAAAGTAGTGTCTCATGTTGTTATGTGTATAATTTTTATCTTTAACACATAAATATATTAAATATATATTAAAAATGAGTTTTCTGTGCACTTCCTGGAAGGATCTGAAATAACCATGGAATTCTGAAATCCCACTTGAGCAAGTCAGGATAGAGCTGTTTCTCATAAACTCAATAAAATCAGCTTAAATGCTTAACAAACGTTCTGGTGAAAGGCTTCCTTTGTTCCTGGTTGCCTCTGTGTTTAAGGGAGATGTGGAGGCGGGTGGCTGGATCATTGCAGGTGTCTTGGTTTCTTGAGAAGTCCTTTTCCTTCTGAAAAAAAACAAACAAAACTGCTATTAATCTTTGCTATGGAGGGGTTTTGGTTGTGCTACAGTGATGGAAGCAAACCCAGGCTTGCTGGGCGCTGGTTGCAGAGGAACTGGCACTTCTTTAATCTGCCTTTGGGCTGCTCTAGACCCAGAAAGGCATCAAGGAATGAAAAATCAGATCAAAAGATGGTACTTCAGGCTTGCTTCAGCCTCCTGGAGCCGTGTTCCTTGCATGAGGCCATGTATTGCATAGGAAGACAAGTCTCTGAGGGCTGAAGGTGCTTGAGCCTTTGAGTATCCCTGCCACATCACAGAATCACAGAACAGTTACGGTTGGAAAGGACCTTAAGATCATAAAGTTCCAACCCCCCTGCCATGGGCAGGGACACCTCACACTAAACCATGGCACCCAAGGCTCTGTCCAACCTGGCCTTGAACACCGCCAGGGATGAAGCATTCACAACTTCCCTGGGCAACCCATTCCAGTGCCTCACCACCCTCACAGGAAAGAACTTCTTCCTTATATCCAATCTAAACTTCCCTTGTTTAAGTTTTAACCCATTACCCCTTGTACTGTCACTACGGTCCCTAATGAAGAGTCCCTCCCCAGCATCTTTATAGCCCCCCTTCAGATCCAGGACCCTCACAGTCCATCAGTGATGACCCTGATGGGCTGGGGTTTTCTTGCTGCACACAAGATTTTAGGCATTGCTCAGCAGAAAAAAACCCAGCATTTGGTAATCTGTGTGCAAAACTCTCCTGTGAGGTGCTTTATGGGATGTGCAGGTAGGACTGCGCATGCACAAGCATTTCCTTTGGGGTGGGATTTTCCTCTTCCAGCTTCTGCACTGCTGAATTCCTGCTTTTCCCCCCCTTTATTTTGTGAAATGGTGCGGGTACAAGCTGAACATGCACTGCAAACCTCAGTTCAGCAGCCAGGCGTGAGCTGGGGAGCTGGAAGAGAAAACTCCTTTCCGTTTCCAGAGGGAAGCTGGGAGGAAATACTAAGTGCCAACAAACCTTTCTCGTTTTGTTGAGAAAGAAAGATATGGCCCAGAACTGAAGTTTGTAATGTTCATAGTGGTTTAAGATGCAGTGGCCCAGGACAGGCATATTGCAGGACTCCACCAGCATCTCTGGAGCAAGGCATGTGGAGATCAGTGTCTTGTATTTGCTCTGACCAGGTAGAAACCAGAATTTCATGGATGCCTTTTTATTCTGGCAGTATTGGATTGGAAAGATGGAAAAGTGCAGGTTGCAAATTCATCATAGTAGGGGTGGGTTACACATGCAGTGGTGCCGTGTTCCTGGTGTGATGCAGAGGGAGGGCAAGGAAAACTTCCAGGAGTTTTCTACAGGCTCCGTTTTACTGTTGGATGTGACAAGAGTGATGCAGATGGCTTTCTTCTTTGCTGATATATTTCAGCAGGTTTAAAGCTGTTTTATAAATGGTACTGAAATATCAACTTTATTTTGCTGTGGTGCCGTGCGCTCAGTTTGCTTTCTAACAAAGCAGTAAGTTAGGGTTTTGAAGAAGAAAATGCTGGTTATAACCTGCAGATATTTCACCCTTGCTGGAAGGTTCATGACCCAAGCATCAGATCAAGAAATTGGGAATCCAAAAATAGCAGTTTTTCATGATTTCCATCAAAATGCTGCTGCTTTCTGGCTGCAGGATGAACTCCAGAGGGGATCTGTGCAGCGTAGTTCCCACCAATCACCTGGGTGGAACGGAATGGCTTTAACTCCAGCTGTCAGAGTTGCTGGGGCAGGGATGGAGGGCAAAGGAAGAGCACCATGAAGCACAAGCCAAAGACAGCTTATGCCCCAGTAATCATAAAGTTAAACTTGCATGGTTCCAAATACTTTAAATTGTGTTTAAGTGCCTGGTGTCTGTTGTTCAGTTGAACAGCCCATCCTGTGCTGCTGTTGCATTAGCAGCATCCTGCTGTCCTTTTGGCTCTTCCCAGAAATCTAGGAATGTTGATGCATTAAAGACAGCAGTCTAATTTTGAAGCCTGTTATATGCAGTTATCTTCCTGTCTGAGACCTGAATCTCCCCTGGCCTTGTAAGTTGCAAAGTCAAGAAGGGAGGAAAAGGCTGAAGTGCCTTACAGCAGCATGGACATGTGAGTTTGTGTTTTGGTCAGCTAGCATGGCTTGAGGAAGAAGTGTTATTGAATTATGGACCATGTCTGGGAAGTGTTTTAGATGCTAAATGTGACTCAGAGAAAAGGAGTAAATGTAGTGGGTTGGGCTGCTATTGGTTAGGGGTTTCATTCCCTTAGGATTTTTAGACATCTCAGATGGTATTTGCAGTTGCCGTGTTTGAAGCCAAGTGACTGGTAGGAGGGAGCTGTGTGCTTTGACCTTCCTTTTTACAAAGTCACTGGCAAAACTAAAGCCTTAAGGAAGGAATTACTTGCCATTCAGTCCTAGGTGCAGGATTGCAGCTGCAGGTCCCCACCAGGCATACAACAAAGCTCAGGGCTTTGTGCCCCGCTGGTTTTGCTGTGGTTGCTGTAAGTGAAGTGGCTCGTGCTGGAGAGCTCTGGACGGCGTCAGCTGTATTTTACACTGTGATTCATGCATGCTGAAGGAAAGCACTTTTACCCATCTTAAACCTCACCTGTCTTAGGCACACAAATGTGCTGTAAAAGTGAGGCTATAGGTAATAAAACCGTGGTTCAGCTATCGCAGAGGTGATCCTTCAGTCACTTCTGTAGGAAAACTCAATATTCTTCAGAGTAGCGATTATACACGCACACCCTTTTCTTTAACTATATTTTTCATATATACATGTATGCACACCCACGAGCTATCATTTTTAAAGGGCTCTCTTTTCCTTCCAATAAAAACAGCACGTGGTTCTCCGCGCTACCTTTACTCCCCATGTTCATTATGGGCTTTCTGCTCGGGGTGGGGCGAGCGAACAACCTGAAGCGGCATTGGAACACACTGGCCGGCTGCCATGCAGCTGGGTAATCCCTGCAGATACTTTCTTCCCTTCAGCTTTTAAGGCTGCTGAAGACAAATCTGTAGGGTTAAGATAGCAAAGTATTGCATTGAAGAGCATAATTAAGAATAGTTTGCATGAAGCGTGTAGCGCGTAGGCCATAAAGCCGACAATTAGAGCAGTCTTGAAGTTTTAGAAGGCAATAAACTGAAGGCAACTAAGGCTACTGCAGGTTTCTTTTGGCTGTTTCATTTTTAACTAGATGGAAGGTTTATCTAATCTGAGCTGCAGTCAATGGTAATGGGCCACATGTTTTCATGTACCTCATTAACCATTTCTCCTGCAACAGTCAAGTTGCACAGTTGCCCTGATAAAAGTGCAGGTGAATGAGTTGAACGTGGTTGTTTTGCTGCTTCGGTCCACCAGGGTTTCAGCAGTGACATGCACATGGGCTTTTGCGGGTCACTCCTTCACTCCTGAGGATTCTCAATGCTTCCAACCAGCTGGAGCCTTGGTGTGGTCATGTAAAATTAAATAGCAAAGAAAATAAACAGCTTTTACTCTGAGGAAGCGAGATCCTCATATGGACCTGAAATATTTGAGTACCTTACACATATTTATAATGCTGGCATAAAGGAAAGAAGTATTGCCTATTCTAGGCTTGTGGGTGGGAATGGCAGGCGAGATTTTGCCATAGAAAACTGAAGGAAGCAGTGTGTAGCCTTGAAAATCCAATGCACATCTTCCAAGAGCTAGTCCAGTGACTAAAGCAAGATGTGAAACCCTATTCTTAGGCCTTAACCCCCCCTTTCCTTACTTCTTCTCTTTCTTCTTCCTAAGTCACTTGGCATAGGTTGCACGTTGGGAAACGTGCTTGTGGCTGGAGCGCCGTGGGAGCAGTGACAGGGCTCTCGAGGAGCACAGCGTCACTGGTGACTTTTGATCCTGCAGGAAAGCGTGCCAAGGGATTATGTTAATGGAGCCAGAGCTCTGCTTACCTTGCCAAAGGTGAGCCCTTCTGCTGGACAAGGCCCTCTTCTAATAGCAAAGCAGAGGTCTTGCCATGGTAGGGAGGTGGAAACGAGGTTTTCTAGCTTGATATATTCAAGGAGGTAGCTCTCTTCAAGGTGGGAGAAGTGCAGTTTATACAATGGTCTCTTGGCATGGGGGTGAAATCAGTGGCTTTTATGGCAGAGGTTAGGTCACAATATTGGTGTGGATATGAAGATGAAAACCATATGGCTCTGTCCCACCAGATTGTGATTATATTGGACAGGTATAGTAGTCAGGGGAGCTAAATGGAACATGTAGACATCCACTGGTATTCAGATGTAATTGTGAGCCTAGAGAAATGGAGAGGTGATGGAAACATGCAAATAATCGGTAGAAGTCACAAAGCACTGAGGGGCTGCTGCTTCCTTCATTTTCCTTTAAGTGGAAGATTCCTGCAGCAAAGAAACCGAAGAAGACATTGCTTTTGGAACAGCCAGGGGCTCTGGCTGCTGCTGTGGAAGTGAATGGTAAATCCTGCAGGAGAGTATAGTTGCTAGTGGCAGTTTCCAAGCGTGGAAAGAGAAGCAGCAGTTTGTGTGGATGACTTTTGCAGGAGGATGGGAAGGAAGGTCGTATTGATCAGCTCTGGCTTCCGAAGGGAGCTAAAAATAAGTCCAGAAAGGATCCTTGGTGAACAGGAGGAAAATATAGAAACCTATAGTTGGCTTTCTTGTTTTATTCATGTGTTAATTGCTGGTTCTCATAGATCATACAGGAAAGGTACAGAGAAGGAAACAAAATTGTCTTGGACAGAAGCAGCTCAATGTTTGCACAGTGGAAAATTGGCCGAAGTATTTTGATTAGTTCTGAGGATCAGGAAGCCAAGGGACTCAGCTTGCCCCTGGTAAAATCCAGAAATGGGTTTTCATTAGAAAGTGAAAAGGTAACTGGATCTGTTTATAGACATGCTTGCCCTGTTTCCTGTACCAGAATGCTGCTTTAAGGACTCAAGAGCAAAAACACTCTTTAAAATAGCATTTCTCAGTTCTGTGAATGCCTTATGTGTGTACAGGCTCTGTATCCGAGTGTGCTGAAAAGCTTTTTATCAACGAGTGCAAAGTCTTCAGAGCAACAGGGAATGAACCTTCAGCATCTGTGTATTGCTTTCATCATGTAGGTCCAGTGAGAATGTTGGTGTATGCATGAAATAAAGCTGGTAAAGGGAAAATTGCAGCCTGCGTTTTGCAGGATCTGTCTAGCTGGAGAAGAGATGAGCTGGTCTCAGGTGCCTCTGCCTAGGAAGTGCTTGGTCTATCCTTAAAACTGCCTTCAGGTATGATCTGTGAGGCCGCTTGCTCTGGTATTAAATACAGCCTGGTCATATTAGAGAAGGGGAGCTCAGACTTCAAGCAGTTGGATTACAGAAGTGATTTGAAAATGTCTGAAAGCAAGAAGCAGTTTTGCCTGGTTCAGGATGAAGAACATTACCACTGTGTCTAATTTTGGATAGAAAGGGCCCGTTCTCTTGTACAGGATGCTGGGAAAATGTTTGGATACAGAGCTTTCCGCAAGCGGACTTCCTTTTCCTAAAGGTGTGATACCTGTTGTTGAGCTTCCTCCTTCTGGTGTGTTCACCTCATTGCCTGGAGAGGGACAGTTCCTGGGCAGTTTTCTTTGCAGATCCATTTTCTTAGCCCCTGTTGACATTCCCAGGTTTGAGTGCCCTGCAGCACTTCTGCAGGCACTGGTGGCTGTCTCGGCAGCTCTGCAGCCCACAGTGCCGTGGTTGTGCACGGTTGACATCCAGCCATGCCGCGGTGACCTCCCTGTGAGGGCGTCACGGCTGTCAGCGCTGTAGCTGAGCAGGCACTGGGTTAATCGATGTCTAACACGTGATGGGATGCTCTGAGCCAGGACTGGGCAGTGTGAGGACAGAAAAGCCAACGTGGGTATTTCCCAGCAGCTCTGGGGTGGGGACAGCTTGTTTCAGCTTGGATCTGTTGTGTGTCCCATGCAAGGAGAACACATTCTGCTTACATCCTGTAGTGGTTTTTCTGCTCCTAAATGACCCCCTCCCTGTGGCACTGGAGCTACTGCTCTATGGAAGGGGTATGGGAGGAGGCCTGGGGGAGCAGAGCCTCCTGCTGTAGGGGCTCATTTGGCCCCTTGCAATGGGTACCTGCATTATCCCCAAATCTCAAGTGCTTCCTGCATCTTGTGAGGTTATGACACGCCGCCTTTGAAAGCCCCTCGGAATGCTGGTTGAGCTATTACAGGGACATGATGAGGTCTTCATGACCTGAACTGAAATGATTCTTGTCTCCTTTTGTCTGAGGTGCCAGCCGGAGCCACACCTATGGGGTTTTTCCCATGAGGCTCTCCTAGTTGTGGAGAAATTCGAGTGTCATCTTCCAGAGCTTGCTTCATTACTTTGATCACAGAAAACTTTGTCCATGGGTTATTTGCGCTCTGTGTGTTCTTCCAGTGCGTTGGAGACGTGATGCCCCAATGCGCCTCTTGAGGGTGGTGGCCTTGGGGTGCTGCCTGGCTCACCCTGCTCTCTTATTCCATGTCTCCAGCTGCATGAGAGAATGAGTGTCAGGGACCATGGGTTGTTTGATCTCTATGTGGACATCTGGAAACCTAGTGGGTTCCTTCCTTGCTTTTTGATGGGCCTTCCCTATGGTGGCTTGAGTGGTCAAGGCCACCCATCATGGAGGTGGACTTCAATCCCGGGCGGAAACTATGTACCAGGGTCAGAGCAGTGCTGTCTAAATGCAGCCCTCAGGAAGAACGCTGTGATGACTGTGTGATGCTGACAAAAGGTTTTGTTTTTGTTTTGTTACCATTGCAGTGACAGCTATATTGTGCGAGTCAAAGCTGTGGTTATGACCCGAGATGACTCCAGTGGGGGATGGTTGCCACAAGAAGGAGGCGGTCTCAGTAGAGTTGGCGTCTGCAAGGTCACGTACCCGGAGGGCAATGGAAGAAGTGGATTTCTAATCCATGGTGAAAGGCAGAAAGACAAACTGGTAATAGACCCTAATTCAACTTTTGTCTGTTCTTATAATGAGAATTATCCCAAATCTGTTGCTATTGTATTCTTGTACAAGTTTTCTTTCTAAACATAAAAGCCAGGCATGTTCAAATGGTACCAGATTGGACCAAACAAGCCCATTCTTATCTAGAACTGCCATCTTTTGCTGTCTAGGTTGGCGTGCCGCCACCTGGAAGGATCAGGTAAATTGTCAACATCTATATGCAAAGACCCCCTTTGATTGAAAAAGACCCTGTGTGTTTTTTATCCCTGAGACCTAGCAGGGGAAGTGAGAAATGAATTGAAGTGTAAAGAACCCATGAAGCCAGTCACATTGCACTGAGTAATGCAGTGCAAGCCTTTAAAATGGCCATGAATTATTTATGCTGCGTGCCGTTCAAGGTTTGAACAGGCAGAGTGAGAATATGAAGACAAGTTGTCTCTTATGAATTGACGCACTCCGTTTCTCCTGGTAGCTGTTTATCTAAGAAGAAGCCCTCTTCTTTCCCTACACAAATCAAATTAATAAAGCCTTTTCCCTATTTCCAGGGTCCGATTTAGATGTTAGACTTTGTTATCTCATCCCTATATATTTGATTCTTCTGAAATTGACTCCTGTGAAGAGATGGGCTAGCTTAAAACTACCGCTCCCTGCACAAGCTCTGTGAACTCAGTGTTTGAGCAAGAAAAAATATATTAATTTGAGTCAGAAATGATTTTGGCTTCAAAAAACCCTAGTGTTTTTAAGCTGTTTCAAGTGTACTTTGTCCTTTGCAACACTACTTTACTTAGGATGCTTTTTATGACACTGTGTGGGAGCCATGCTTATGGTTTTGGGGGCTGGAATAAGACTAATAAGCCATTCCCGTTTCTCCCTGAGCATCACCCTAAAGGTGGTTTTAGCACAGCAGAGCTTGAGATGAGTGCCTGGCTGGGGGTGAGGGAGGGAGAAAAGGTGGGGGGAGTGTTGCAGCACCTCCTAAATCTGCTGCTGGCAGATACCATTTCTGTTGAGCACTGTTATTGAAGGAAGAGGTTCTTCCTCCATATAACCCCCCACTAGTAACCAGTACCACACTGGGTCCAAAATAAGCTCCTAGGGTAGGGAGCAAGCATCTATTCAAAGCACAAGCAAAAGATGAATGTGCAATGGTTATGAGAACAATTACAGTGTCTGGTGTTTATTAGTCATCGTTCGGTAGGGAAGGATGTTCCCCTGTGCGAGGCATGACTTGGCTTTCATTTGGGTCTGGGCTGAGGTGGTGCCAACTGTGCCCTTGGAAAAGTGACTTTGCTCCTCTTTTGGGGCTCACGCCCTGCCAGGTGGTGCTGGAGTGCTTTGTGAAGAAGGACCTGGTGTACACGAAGGCGAACCCCACCTTCCACCACTGGAAAGTCGACAACAGAAAGTTCGGGCTCACTTTTCAAAGCCCTGCCGATGCTCGAGCCTTCGACAGAGGAGTGAGGAAAGCCATCGAGGACCTCATCGAAGGTACCAGGGCATGTGGCAGTGATCGCTTCGACCCTTGGAAGAGTGGGGAAGGGGCTTTGAGTCATGGAGCTGGGAAGAGGGATGGGTTTAAAATCAGTTCTTGGGCTTGGATGTCTCTTTGCATATGTCTGAGTGTAGCTGGGTGCTTACACTGTGCTGAGCAAGCCCCAGCTTTTAGGAACTGAGTTTTCTATCCCTTAAGGAGAGAAGAAGGGATTTCAGCCCAAGTATTTTCCAATCCTATCTGGCCTGGTCTGTCCAGACTTCCCCTCCTTAATTTCCACTGAGTTTGTTATTACCCCTCTTTGTGATAGGCTTGGGTTTCATGCTAGTGATGGCAACTCAAACAGCCCAGCTCTTCTTCATATGCAGCCAAATCTTGTCTGAGTGAGTCTTTGTTAAATCATAGTATGAATTCCTGCCTGGAGTTGAATAAAACTTTGTTTTGTTTTGGGGTTTTGTTGCAGTAATTAGTTCTGTCTGCGTCCTCTTGTCTCAATGGTCCTTCTTAAAGACTTTGTTGTGTTGCTGGTTTGGGGTTGTTTTTATTCTGTAAAAAATGCGTTTGAATTGCCTGTTCTTTGAAGTTGTCATAAATTCTTCCTTTTCACGTTTCGTTTCAATCACAGCAATCATAACACAGCTATAATTCAGTGGGGCTTTATTGTAATGAAATTGGAGTCTCCGTGAGGGACTCTTATTTATTTAGTTTTCATTTTTTGAGGGTACTGGCTCAAATGTATGTACAGATGTATATGCTTTCTGAGGACATTAGCTCCATAAGACACATTAATGTTCTGAATGCCCTGTTCCTTGCTTTAACATGGAAATGGTGGATACTGGGAGAGAATTAATCCCCCAGGGCTCTCTCCTGGTAAATACCTCATCGGTTAAAGGAAGGATCTTCTCAAGTAGTTACTCATTTGCTTTTTCCTGTGTGATGAAGGTGAAGAAGTTACAGTTAGGCCTTCTGCTTTTTTGATTACTAAAACTGGGAAGCATTTTGAGTCGTAAAAGTGATGTTTTATGTAAGTAGCACGGGATTGATTGAAATTCTTTACTGTGAGGCATTGGCACAGGTTGCCCAGAGAAGCTGTGGCTGCCCCATCCCTGGCAGTGTTCAAGGCCGGGTTGGATGGGGCTTGGGGCAACCTGCTCTAATGGAAGGTGTCCCTGCCTGTGGCAGGGGGCTGAAACTGGATGAGCTTTAAGGTCCTTTCCAACCCAAACCCTTCTGTGATTATATGCTTATGCAAAGTTTCATTCAGATGATAATTCAGTCGTATTGAGTCGTAGTTTGGAGATGCCAGTATGTGGCAGCTCCTGTTCTGCTCTTTCTGATCCGTTTTACAGTGGAGGTGTTTCAAATCAAGTTCTGCTGTATCTCGGATACTTCAAAATCAGCGAATCTATATTTATCCCATTAACAGCACAGCCTGATCCTCATGAATGTGTTCCTCCTTAACTTCCAAATAAAGCTTTCTGAATGAAAAACAATAACTGGCTCATGTGCACACCGCATCAGGCAGTGGATTTTGTTTATCGTTCATTGTTTTGGTTCATGTGGCTGATCAAATTTAGCAGATAACATTAAGCTCTGTGCATTCAGAACTTCATGAAATCCCTGCCGCCTTTTAATATTTAACCTGGAATTTGCTCCCCATAGCATCAGAATCATGGAAGTTTTCTGCACCAGCACAGGAGTCCTCTGCAGCTCTGTGAAGTGTCTGGATTTTTTACTTTTAAGGCTAATGTAGCAAATGGCACAAATGTTTTCACATTACTTAGTGTTTTAAGTGGGCTTTCGCACTTAGCTCTGCACATCTTCGTGGTGATGCAACTGAGAGCAGCCAAGGCTGGTGCAGAGAGCATTATGTAAAGCACATTACTTAAAAAAATTCCAGAATGAAGGTGGTACAAACTGTTCAGCTGATTCAGTTGGGGATGTGATGTGGCCTGAATTCAGTGTAACAGTGGGCTTACATTAAAAGAGCCTTTGACTTGGGGGTTTGTTCCCCCTATCAGAGCATCTTCTGCACCCACCCTCCTTGGCAGCCCCATAGGGGGTAAAGCCAACCAGGAGTGGACCAGGATCCTTGGGGGGTAAGGAGAGGGATCACCTCTGTTTACCCCCAGCATAAATTTGCTGCTAAGTCCAGCAGTGGCATGTTCCACCCTCCCTGCTGCCCTTTTGCTATGTGGGAGCTGATCAAACGCTTGGCCAGCTCCAGAGGGAGACACTCATGGGGTGGGGAAAGAGGTTGGAGGAAGGCTTTTCAATATCCTTCCCCACTTTTCCAGATGCTTGCTGTGTTAGTGAATGAGAACTGCACCCAAGTATTTTCCTCCTGTTCATGGTTTTACACATTTCAGCTCCTTTCAAATTCTTGGCTGACGTGGGGCGAGGTGGTTCTCTGAGAAATAGGTAATGACAGAAAAGACCGTTACAATATAACAACTTCTGAAATGAGGAGAAGGAGGAAAACCCCTTCATTGTCACAGGGAGGTTTATTGTTTCAAAGAAAAAGTCATTTTCCCCCCAGATTTAGGGCATCCGTGAAGAATAACTGGTGTAGGGTTCCTGACAGCTGAGGATCAGTCTCGAGCACTGATTAGAGCGCAGCTTTACCATTCTTCAGAAACGAAAGTCTTCTGTAATTGGAAATGGTAACTGCTATTTTTAACATAGTTAATTAGCATTGGCAGCCATGCAGTTGCATGTCAAGAAACACTTTCAGATTTTACCTTTCCAACCCAGATGGGTTTTTCTTCCTAAAGTTGAGCCACTCTTTTGCACATCCACAGCACGCAAACTTGTGAGCATCCAAATGTTTACCAGCCTGATTATAAAAAGCCCCTAAAGTCACATAGAAATACTGAGTTCACAAACCTGTTGTTTTTCTAGGGTCTACGACGTCCTCATCAACGCTTCACAATGAGGCTGAGGTCGGCGATGATGATGTCTTCACTGTAAGTACATGTCACCTGAGGTCGTTCTCCTTCATGCTCTGCTTTACATGGTCAAGTTGGAAAGGGTTTTTCTTTCTGTGCCTCAAGGGTCGGCTTCCAGCAGTCACCGTGCTTGGCCAGTGGGTATGTTGTCTTTGATGGAAGTATGTCCTCTACACAATGTAGAGCATTGGGTTTCTGTTGGCCTCCCGTTGCCACATGAAAAGCACGTCAGGGCAGATGTTGTCAGGCATAGAAGTGAGGAAATAAGCACAGTCAAATTTCCTGTGGGTTAGTCTGAGTGGTGTGCTCTTAGTACCTCTTTCTCTGTCCTCAAGAAGCTTCTCACAAAATGAAGTAGGTGGCTTCTACTCAAGTGCGTGCTCAGGGAAGTAAGATTTTGAATTGCAGTTGTTACCGAAAGCCAACTTTAAAGGTGTTTGAGCTTTCTACGCCTCATAATAAGTGAAACAAGTGGTTTTCAGCTAGAGGAAGGCACAGCAGCATGCCATTTACTAACCAGCAGTGACTTAAATAGGAGTGAGTTGTGGTAATGTCTAAAACGTACTTTGGAGCTTTCCTGAAACAGAAGCAGCTGGTCCCCTCTACACTTGCACACTTTAAAAGGGGGGAGAGAACAAACAAATGTCAGATGAAATGATAATCTGGTCATAGATATTCCATGGGCTTGAAAACAAGACACTCGCAATGAGTACTTTGTCTTAACTGCATTTTTTGCATGGATCTGATCTCAACCCCGCACACGTCTGGCATTAGTTATAAATGCTCTCCTTGTCCAGTGCTGCAGTTGAGGACTGGGTGGCAGGAGGACAGAAGGTGGGATGTCTTCAGCGCAACAGCAGCAAGCTTAAAGTCATATTTGGGATACTTCCTTGCCTCTCTAAATGTGGGAAAACTGAGGGCAGGCATGAAGCTGTTTGAAGATGGGCACTGGGAATCACTGCAGTTGGAAGGTGTTTCTGAAGGGGATGTTTTTGCCTGTACGGGACCAGGGCAGGTTCCCTGCCGTGCTTTGACCAGTTCCTCCCGACGGCTGGCATGTTGTCTGCATCTGTCCTTTTGTCACGGCTCTGGGAGACAAACAACAGCAGGCAGGGTTAAAAGGTGACTTCCTGCACTCCACAGCAGAACTGTCATTAGCAGCTGCTTCCCAACTACCTGCCAGAAGTGATTTATAGACGCCGAGATGGGGCGGATTGGGGGAGGCATCGCTGGAGCCAGAGCAGTTTACCAGTTTGTGCTGCTTTGTCCCCATATTCTCTGCTGGGGATGGATGGTTGTGCTGAAAGTGTGTGCAAGTCTTCTGTGCTCGTCACATACGGGACTGTCATCAAAATGTGCCTTGGGAGGGGTGCGTGTGCCAGCTGTCGCTGGGTTAGACGTGGAAGTACTCAGTGTTAAAGCAGTGGAAAGTAGCCTGTGGAAACAGGAAAATGTACTTCTGCTAAAATCCAGCCACTGATGTTTAGGGACCTGGGAGTGCTCCTGAATTTCTCCACAAGCTCAGTCTTGTGTCTGAGTGTTGATTTCTGAACTCGTAGGGTGCCTTTTACCAGGAGGAACAAGTTGTTTCCTTTAAATAGGTGTTGCTTTACACTGGGGAAGTTGGATGAATGGTGCTCCAGCTGCATCACTCCTGCATTCAGAGTGAAGAGCTGAAACTATGAGAGGTTTTTCCCCCCTACTTGACCCTGGGGAGGTGACAGATAACTCCCTGCTGTGCAAATATTTATGGGTAGGATGGTTGGTGGAGAAGAAGGAACAAGCTACTTGACAGCATTAGGAAGGAGGGAAGACTTGGCTGCGTTTGGCACCTTGTTGGGATGCAGGGGGACATTCACACCTCAAGTTGTGTCCTGCTTGGCAGATCTCTCTGTGTGTTGCTTGATCTCCAGAGCATGAGAGAGACTTCCATGGTAGTAGCTCGTGTGGTGCTGTTGGTCAAGCTGTCACATCAGGGTGGGTGTGTTGTTGGACTCCAAAAATAAGGCTTTATCCTTTTCCCCCATATTTCTTCTTCGCTTTCCCAGGATGAAGTCGCTCCTTTCCCTGCAGTCCTTAAGCTCTTTGAATCTCTCAGCTTCCCATGTATCTGGTGGGAGATGATGGAGTATGAAGTCTGCCTAAGCCAGAAATAACATACTGAAGCGTGGAGGGGTTTTAGACTGGAAGAAATTGATAGGGCTGTGATAGATTTTATTTTTACCCTTCTGTTTCATTCTGTCCTTGCACATCTTTGACTTGTGTCTTGCAGTCCATTTGGTCACCCGTGCACACAAAACTCCTTTACAACTTGCCTGTAAACTCTTTTCCCCAGCCCCAGCAGGGGATTGTTCAGGTTTGGAGGTCTTTTTGCTCCGGTTTAAAGAGAAAGGAGATTTGTTCTTTTTTTATTTCCTAAGGTAGTTATTAAAATCTTCACAGCCCTCCCCCTCTCCCACACATGCATGAATACACTTAACTGTGTGCGGCAGAATTTGCAGAAGCATCTGCATGATTGAGTCATTTAATCAGTCATTTACCCGTCTCTGAAAATCCCAGCCGTCGCTGCTGCCTCAAGCATTTGGCCTGAGGTCCTGCCTCTCCTTGATGATGTTTCAATCCCTTCAACCCCAGCAGCCCAAACCTTCACCTTTCTTACGCTGTTTTGCAGATGGCCACCCCAACTTTATCTGGCACATCAGCACTGATGTTTGCACCACTGTAACGGTACCAACGTTAAAACAACCACCCTCATTACATATAAGCAGTGACCCTGGTATGGCTGTTGGATATTGGTTGACACGGGGCTTTTGTACTGTTCCTGATCCTGTTAGATTCAATACAACTCTGTGTGTATTTTTGTGTGTGTAACTCATACATCATTGTTATGAATGCTTCATCCCTGGCAGGGTTCAAGGCCAGGCTGGACAGAGCCTTGGGTGAGATGGTTTAGTGTGAGGTGTCCCTGCCCATGGCAGGAGGGTAGGAACTGGATGATCTTAAGGTCCTTTCCAACTAAACTGTTCTATGATAATCCATTTCATTTATTCATCAGCCAGCACGCAACCCTTCCAGGCATCCAGCAAGTTATTTTCATGCCCCAGAGGTAGAGCTCTCCTTCAGGCTATGATCTTGTGTGACTTGATGGAGGGTCATTTTCTTGTACCAGAAAGTGGTTTCTTTTGTATTTCAGGGGGTGACTTATCTATAGCTGTGGCTGCATGGGCATTTGTTTGGGAAGCATCACTGGTGTTGGTGGCCTTATCTCTTCCCATCACTGTAACTTGCAGTGCTAAGACAATAACTTGAGCCGCAGTACCTTGCTCCATTCCTACGGCACATGCTCCCCAGCCATCATTCTAACAAGTGGGCAATATCTTTAAAAAAGAAGGCTTTGCCATCTAATAATTTTTCTGTGGATTAGACCTACAGCAATTAGACAAATCAATATAACCCCCTGTTCTTAAACTCATACCTGACAGTGCAGAAAGCAAAAGTATATAGAACTAAATGTCAGTGGCTTCAGGGAAAAAATGCCTATTTCTAAAATGAACTCCCCACTTAGAACTTTTAACAATATGTAGTTGTGTTTCTTTAATTCCAGATCCTCCGTAGAGCCCATAAATGTTTTCCATATGTTAGCAAATAAATTTCTCCTGTCTTGTACATTATAAATCGTCCTCTCAAGAGATGCAATCTGAGTAAGACTAGCCATCCGTTCTGTCTCCACTGGGGGAAACACTGTCATTGCAACGGGCTGAGATTGTTCTGTTTGTCTTCATCCATCCAGCCTGCATCTTCAGCCTTCTTCAATTAACATCCACTTCAGAGCTAATATTTAAGGACTGAATATATTCTGTAGTTCCTCTGCCACAGAATTTGCCGTATAATTGAGTTCTTGGGCAGATTTTTGTCTTAATCTACACTTTTAGTTTCAATTACAGATAATAATCCCACATGATCATGAAGTGAAAAATGTGAATTGAATCCAAGGAAAGAAAGGTCAATGTCTTCCAGAGTCTGCAGAGTGCCTGAAATGGTCTCTTTTAGCAACCCATCTGAAAAAGCAGAGGTGTTTGTTCCGAAACCTTATGACCAGTTAACTGAAACACTGCTCATATGTTTTTCAGATACATCCACGGCTCTGTGCCTGCTTTAGTGCTAAAGGAAAGACACCCACTGGCAGGAGGAGCAGCAGCTCCTGTGTCAGTTCTGATTTGTTAGCCTAAAAACTGCAGTCCCCTTCTGGCTTAATGGGAGTGCAAGGGGAAAACTCAACCCTGCTTAGTTTGATGTGCATGTTTTAGTCATAGCTGTTTCATGTCATCAGTAATAAGTGTTGAAAAATCCTAGGTTTTGTTCAACATGAGACTTGCAGAGTCTTGCAGGTAGAGCAAGCATGACCTAGAGGTGCATGACTGAGCTGCAGGGTTGCATTTTTACACAGCTAGGCTCAGTCCATTGTTTCTCATGCCAGCTCCTGGCTAAAACTACCAAGACAGCAAAACAGAACACACTGCCCAGAGAAGCTGTGGCTGCCCCATCCCTGGCAGGTTGGACGGGGCTTGGAGCAGCCTGGTCTAGTGGAAGTTGTCCCTGCCCGTGACAGGGGGTTGGAACTGGATGAGCTTTAAGGTCCCCTCCAACCCAAATCGTTCTGTGATCCTATGAAGCATTCTCCTACTTAACAAAGGTTATGTGGACAGATCTTGCTGCCACCACTGCCTTTCTTCTTGGGCTTGCAGCAGAAGTCTTGAAACTCACACTGTCACCATAAAGCTTCATGTTTGGAGAGATCCTGCACCCCTTGTTCCTTTTTCTCAGCATGAACGTGCACTCCTATGCTCAGGGGTTTTTGAGTTAGGAAGTTTGTCATGTGGCTTGGCCGCTGCTGACAGTCGTTTAAGAGACAGACACAATCACCCATTCTGTGCTGTAGCGGTGCGGATTGCAGCAGATGTTAACGTTACAGTCCTCCTCGCATCTCTTCTGGCTTCCTAATTAAAAAACCAGATCCC